TGGGAGGGAAAGCCTCACACCATAGTGGGTTACTATCACAAGTATAGATATCAAGAACAATATTGCTCTCAAGATTCACACCACTAGGTACATCACTAGGAGTGATTTCATCATCTTCAAATTGGATATTGTACTTAAAGAGGGAATGATCCACCACTAGGGAAGAGTTAAAACATGCAAGTTGACCCTCAGAAAGACACATATCAGTTTTCGAAGCATTTTCAAGCACATGATCTCTATGAGCAAAGCAAGCAATTGGATCTTCCACAATAGATATGCTGAAAGAGTCACTACTAATCAGATGATCAACATTCTCATTAGTGCCACCAACTTGAGGTTCCTTAATCATATTACAAGGACCCTCAACCAGTGAACTACACTTACAAACAGGTTGATCAACACAATCAATACAAAATAATGAGCTAGCATTCAAAGCACATGTTCAACACTAGGTGGACACAAATCAATCTTACTAGAAGAATCAATTCGGTCATCAATAGGATCAACTTGTGTATCCACATTCTCAACAAGCACATTATCAACACATGGTAAAGAATCAATAGTCTCACATAAAGACAAGTTAACATTCACACTTTGTTCATTTGCAATGGTAAAAGTGTTAAGATTAGCTATTGTACCTTGACTCCCGCAAGAAATATCTTATTTACCTTAGATGTTGGAACATTCCATTAGTGCATCCATCACACCTTCGACTGTAGGCTCTTTGGCTGGAACTTGTGTTCCTCCATTCATTATGCTTGTACCTACATAAGAATCCTTACCAAGTGAAGGATGAACAGAAATGTTAGATTGAGATTGTGGCACTCCTCTTAACCTCTTTTTTTTCCACTCTAAGGTTGCCACCTTGCTTTCCCTTACTCCTCTCAATCTTTTATCTCTCACTTTTCACTTTAGGAAGAGGAAATAGAGGTGTTCCCCAATGATCCACAACACACTTGTACCCACTCTGCTCGTTTGGGACCCTATGTACAGTAAACCAATTGGCTCCCAAACTTAAGTGACAAGAAGCCATGGGCATTATATCACACCAAACCTCCTCATAGTATTTGCAGCATGTGAAAGAAACTCTTGCCCCATCGGTAACCTTACATCCCTCCATGGTGTATGGATAAGTCCTTTGTAGTCGAGGTAGTCCCAAATAAGCTACCACCTCTGGAGTGATGTAGTTCAAATTATACCCATCATCGAGGACAAGGTCAAGTCCCAAAGCCCCACAAATGCCAACCTTTGTCCTAAGAACTGGTCTTCTTGGATCGATATTGAAAAGCGTGATGTACCCTTTTGGCACATACTTGAACCTCATCAGCCTCTTCAATTCTTTCCATGTCAATGGGTGGGTATTTCCTTGGAGTGCGCAAAGCCTTTCCTCTTGAGTCCACTAACCTAATGCAAGACCCTTCAAATGATAGAGGATATACAAGGGTCACTCTGGTCCTCTCAAATCATGGCGTTGGAAAATCTGCTCACACTACCACTCCCAATCAAGATATGCCTCGGGATTACGTCTTCCTTCAAAGATAGGAAAATCAATCCTTTTAGTACCCAGACCCTTGACGCATCTCATATCATAGTAACCTGGGTCAGAGGCAATTGGGGGCATGCTACCTTATAACTCCGTGTACCTACAAAGTGACAACTCACAAATCAACAAACAACGTTATCGTTAAATAAGAACTCACAATCACTCGTGTTTACACACGTTTGATTGCCTCTCAAATTAGCGCGGCTAATGTTGAAGATTACCTATACTCAATTGATCACAAGGTCTCGATTCTACTCTTGCTCTGAGTAGATTTTTATTTCAAGAAGAATGGACGACTCAATTAAAGCAAACAGACTTGAGTCAAGAATTCACTACGAAGTAAAACGAAAAAAACACGAAAAGAAAAGCACTAACAAGGAAGTGAATTCAAGAACCAATAGTCAACAAGTAGAGTAATTACGAGTTGAAAATCAGTTAAGGATTCTTGACAACAAACCTAAGAAGAAAGGGTCACAACATGAGCTTTCGATCGCCAAATGCACTGTTTTCTTCGCCTAACGTGAAGTTCAGCTCGCCAACTTGAAGATTGACTCACCACACTTGCCAAACGGACAAGGAAACTCGGCAATCTGGGTGGAAGTTCGGCGATGCACCGAATGGATTCGGCGACCAGGGCTTAGCTCGCCGAAATTTCCAGTGTTTTCACCAAAGTAAGGTCCAACTCGGCGACCTAGTTGCCCAAAGGGCGAGGCGCCGAGTGGAATGGGCGATCCAAGTCGGGATTCGCCCAAATTCTTCAAGCTGCACTTCCTAGACTCTGAAAATTGAACCTTGGTGGTCCTGCCCTCTTCCTTGGCCTTTAGTATTTACCCTTTTTGGTAAATTCTCTTTTTACAAACACTTTCTCTTTCTTACTTTTTGGAATCAAACACTTCCCTTTTCAAATATTCCCTTCTTGAAGATTTGAATATTCTTCAAGATCTTCAAGAACACTATGAAGACCCAAAATAAAACCCCGAAGATTTTTAGCTCGGAATTTCACGAAACTTTAGGTGAATGCTCTCCTTGATATAGGGAACAAACCCCAATACCTTTTAGCACTCAATTCCTTGCCAAAACTTCCAGATTTCAAATCCCACTTCGTCTTCTTCAAAGATTCTTCAACCAACAATGGTGGAAACTTCAATAGTGAACAAAACTTCACCAAATCTCAGATCTAAACTCAAATAAGTTTAGGGAACACGAATCCAACCTTGGAAACTTCAAACAAGACACAAATCAACAAGCCCATTTCAGAAATTTGCACAAAAACATTTTGAACAATTTTTTTTTGTAGCAACAAACTCAAGACTAGAATCGTAGGAATGCTACTAAGCTCGGCTCTGATACCAAATGATACAATTCTCACAAGAAGAATCACAATAAACAACGAAAAACAAGAAAGATAGAAGAAGAGACAAAATAAAAAACAATTGGCAACTAAAGGATGTATTAAATCCAATAACCTCCTATCTAGATCCTAACAAGCACCTAATATGGATAAATAGATAGACACAACAAGAGGAAACAAAGAGCAACCTATGGGTATGTTAAACCCAAAGACCTCACTTCATTAATCCAACAAGAAGCACCTAACTCTTAGGAAGACCTCAAGGGAATCGATATCCCAAGTAACCCTCATTTCTAAACAATGTTCAACAAAAGCTTACCAAGCTTTCAACACTTACACAAGGAGTTAAATTTATCATTCATTAATATTCAAACAAGTCTAAGTCTAAGATGAAACCCTAAAGGCCTATTTATAGTGTTAGGCATTATTACATAGATGGCCCCAAAAGTGACCCGAAAATGGGCCAATGGGCAAGCCAAGTCGGGCTTGCCAAATGGCTCGGTGATCCGCCAAATGGGTTCGGCGAGAAACCCTGCTCATTGGCTTTTCCTTGGATGGCTTACTGTAACTTTCAGCAGTTTGGGGTTCAAAAGGCAATGTGCTGAATGCCCTCCATGCTCGCCAAATGGGTAGCTTTTTCTCTGCAGCTCATTGGATAAGTTGGCGATCCTGGAACCCTCGCCAAAGGGGTTCGGCAAATCGCCAAAATGGCTGGCACCTCGCCGAATGGAGCAACACTTTCATTTACTCCTCCTCCTTGCCTCATTGGACCTCCTACGCTCCAAGCTATCATCCACACAGGGTGTTGCACAGTTGGGAGCACCTTTAAAGCGCATTTCCCAACCCCACGAACCTTCATCCTTGAGAATGAACCATCAATACATTGAAATTCGTGAATGAATGGTTTGGGGGCAATATGTATTGCATGACGTTGTGCTCCATTCAGTGTCCTGCTAGCATAATAAATTAGATGAAATAACTTGTTGCATTTTTGCCCTAACATGACTCTTAGAGCAGTACCACTTGCATCACATATCACCTCAAATGGTTCGGACCAATTGGACTGATGATCACGGGGGTAGAGATTAGCTTTTTCTTCAGACAGTGAAAAGCTTTTGAGAAAGCATCATCAAAAAGAAACTTCTCCTCTTTCTCCAATAGCTTACACAATTGATGTGCAATTTTTGAAAAATCATTGATAAATCTCCTATAAAACCTTGGATGCCCCAAAAAAATCGAATATCTTTAATAGATATAGGTGGTGGCAACTTCTCAATAACCTCAATCTTTGCTTTGTCGACCTCGAGCCTCTTCTGTGACACTTTGTGACCTAGGACTATGCCTTTTTTTACCACGAAATGACAGTTTTCCCAATTGAGGAGCAAGTTGGTTTCCACACACCTTTGAAGGACCTGCCCAGGATGAGCCAAACATGTCTTAAATGAATCATCTACAATTGAAAAATCATCCATGAATACTTCCATCGAATCTTCCACCATGTCAGCAAAAATAGAAAGCATGCACCATTGAAATGTGACTGGAGCATTGCATAATCCAAACGACATCCTCTTGAAGGCAAAAGTCCCGTAGGGACATGTGAAACTGGTTTTCTCTTGGTCTTCCAGTGCAATAGAGATTTGGTTGTATCTGGAGTAGCTATCCAAGAAACAGTACCATCCACGGCCCGCAAGTTAATCAAGCATTTGATCCATAAAAGGCATTGGAAAATTATCTTTCTCGGTCCAAGAGTTGAGCTTTCGATAATCCATGCATACTCTCCAATCGGTAACCGACCTCATGGGACAAGTTCTCATTTCTCATTCGGGACCACCATGATGCCTCCTTTTTAGGGTACGCATTGTACCGGTCTCACCCATTTGCTATCTGAAGTATGATACACTACATCTGCGTCTAGCAATTTAATGATCTCTTTATTCACCACCTCTTGTATAGATGGGTTTAATCTTCTTTGATGCTCAACACTTGGTTTGCACTCGCTATCCAATTGGATTTTGTGTGTGCAAATCCCAGGTGGAATACCTATGATATCAATGATAGTCCATCCTAGTGCCTTGATGTGCCTTTTCAACACCTCAAGAAGCAATTTCACTTGACATTCAAGCAAGCCAGTTGCAATGATAATGGGCAAGGTATTATTCGCCCAAAAAATGCATACCAAAGATGAGCGGGAAGCACTTTCAACTCAAGCTTTGGCGGTTCCTCTGTGGATGGTTTAGCGGGAGGACTCTCTTGATTCTTTAGATCAATGTCTAGCTTCAATGGGTTCCTTGAGTATTCACTTAATCCCGATAGAGCAGCCACCACTTCATCATACCATTGAACTTCGGTTTCATCATAATTTGAAAAAACACCTTCAAGAGGTTTCCCCATACACATCAGTTCGCTCACACTAGCCACCGCTTCATCAATCACATCAATCGTTGAAACTACATGAATATCACTAGGCTGCTTCATTGATTTGCACACATTGAAGGTGACCCGATCTTCATTTACCTGGAACTTCAACTCCCCACTTTCAAGATCAACTAGAGCTCTTCTGGTTGCTAAAAATGGCCTCCCCAAAATAATAAAAACTTCAACATCAATCTCACAATCAAGAATAACAAAATCAGCGGGAAAGATGAATCGATCAACCTTCATCAATATGTCATAGAATATCCCAACGGGGTGCTTGATCGATCGGTCCGCCATAAGAAGCCGCATTGTTGTGGATTTTGGTTCTCCCAGCCCAAGTTGTTCAAAGATTGTGTAGGGCATCAAATTTATACTTGCCCCCAAATCACATAAAGCTTTAGCGAATTGAAGCATACCAATGGTGCATGGGATAGTGAATGCCCCCGAATCTTCTTTCTTTGTAATTATCTCGCTAGTCATAATGGCACTACAATTATGAGAAACTTCAATTGTTTCGAAGTCCATGTTTCTCTTCTTAGTGACCGGCTCCTTCATGAATTTTGCATATCCCGGCATCTCTTATAATGCTTCCACTAACGGAAGATTTATAGAAATCTTGAACACAGATAGGAACTTCTTGAACTTCTCATCCTCATTTTTCTTTTTGAGACGTTAAGGAAATTGAGGAGCTATTTTGGGAAGAGGTTGCACAATCTTTGGAGTTGAGGTAGCCTTTTCTTCATCTTTTTGCAACTCTTCAGCGGGGCTTTGCTTAGGATTTTTCTCCTTCTCTTTTAGCATATCACTTTTCGGTGCTTGAACGGGTTTTTCTTCTTCATGAGCGTTCATCCCATTATTACCCTTCACATTACCAACCATTATCTTTCCAGTTCGAGTCACAACAACCAACTCTTTGTCACAATAAGCTCTCAAAGTTGTTGCGCATTCAGCCTCACCCTTTTCAAATACTTTAGGTTCCAATTGTGCTGAAAGTTGGCTTAGTTGACCCTCAAGTTGTTTGATTGCATCAGCGTGAGAATTCACTCTATTATTCAATGATGAGAAATTAACTTTCATCTCTTTAAGCATGTCATCAGATCTTTCAACCTTGTCTAGGATACACAACAACGATTCATCCACTCGTAAGTTACCCGAACTACCCTTTGATCTTGGGTTGTCACTTGATTGCGTGTGGCACTCTTCATGACTCTCTTCTCTCCTTCAAGAGTCATTGTTTTCATTCCAATCTTAATAGTATTGTCTTCTCTCTTCTTCCTTATGCGAGTTCCAACCTTGATTCCCACCTGCCTTTAAGTAGCTCGGGTGAGAACCCTCCTCAAGTCTCAACACTCTTCTTACTTCTTTGGGTTCACAAACATTTTCTAGCACTTGTTTTTGTAACAAATCCCAAATGGAGATTCATTGGCGTAAAAGAAATCACCACCATCATCTTGGTGACCAAGTTGGTTCACGGTGCTTTCATTTGCACTCATCATGTCACCTAATCACAAACAGCTCACAACAAAAAAAGTAAGTCGATTCAACTATACACAAAGAAATCACAATTCAAACTTTGATAAGAGAATTCTAAACACCACTCCCCGGCAGTGGCGCCATTTTTTATTAACGCTCAACTACACCTCATCTGGTACTAGGTGTAGACGATCGTAGTCTAGTATAAAACCCAACAAGTGAGTTGGAGTCGAACCTAGAGGGAGTGGTGCAAGTTTGAATTCAATTATGAAGTTGTAAATGCCAATTAATCGGTTGCAGGAATGGAAATTATCGAAAACACTTAAATAAATTGAAGGGGTGAAAAATGTCAGATGGGGGAATTGATTGTGAAATAGCAACTAAAGCAATCACAAACAACAAGGGCAAGTAATTAAGAGATACTCAGGGGCATGACCGACCAACTATCAATTTCGCTAAATGGGTTCTCGGTAATTACTAACGGTTTCTAAATCTTAGCGGGTGGGCTGGACCTTAGATGTAATAGCTTTCTCTCGAACAACTATTACAAATCAGGTGAGTTCTCTAAAACCTCAACAAGCTTAACACAAACATCACAAAACCTCACTTTATCTACTCTCACGAGCTAGATAGGTAGAATTGAGCATAGAATTCACTCTCTCGAGCTGTAACCACAACAACCTAATAACTACAAATACTAATTTCTAACCTTGGTATTATACCTCTCTCTCAATAAAGAATAAAACACTAAGTAAAATTGAAATAAAGATTCCAATTCATCAATTTAACACCAGCTATAAATCAAACTCAGTTCAAAATAGCAATAAGATCAATAATCTCTAACACCCATCAGCTAAATCAGACAATTAGTTACATAGTCACACCCCCAAATATGGGGTTTTAGGTATTCATCATAAAAAAAAAATAAGAACACAATACCTATTACATTTTCCATGGCTGGGTATTGATCTCCAAACCCTTAAAATGATTCAATGTAGCTTCAATTACAAAACCCAATTCAAAATCTACTTGAAAAACGCTTCAAAACTAAACAAGAATAGTGTTTTTGTTCTAAGTATGATTTCTTACAATGTCTGAATACCTTCTCTCCTTTCAAAAAATCAATATATACCCTTTAAAAAATTAGCCTTTAGGGTAAGTCGCGTTTCACCAACAGGTCGGCGAGTTGTCAATTGCTCCTGTCCATCGCCTTCTTATATTAAATTTTCATCTACTACTCATTATGACTTTAGGCGGTCTATGTAGGGGTCGCCGATGGGTTCGGCGATGCACTATTTGCTCCTTTGGATCGCCATTCTACTTGCACTTCATTGATTGTCCTGTAACTATCGGCAGACTAACCCATCTTCGCTGATCCAATCGCCGAATCGCCGAAAAGGAATGTCCTTCGCCCAATGTTTCTCATCTGAGGAGCGGCATGCTGTAACTTTGGGCGAGTTAAAGATACAATCGGCGGTTCATCGAGTGGTCTTGGCAATCACCAGGGTCGCTTTTCTTCACTTCTTTAGCTTGTTTGTTCCTTTTTTTTGCCCGGTAGTGTCCTTGCCTTGTTCCTTAGCCTTCATAACTGCAAATCCACACTTTAAGAACAATTACGAGCATAACTTAGGCATTTGAGGACACTTAAACTATCTAAACAAGGCCCTAGACGAGTTGAAATCTCGAACTCATCAGTAGTCATATCCTGAAAACCATCAGGTAAGGATTAGAAGAAAGACTTTATAGAGTTAAACTCCATGGCACGACTTAGAGAAATGAAGAAGTGAAGTTTCCTAAGCATCTAGTAGCCTCTCATGAACAAGACTCTACTTGACGTGGTTTTGCGACATCCTAAAACCATTCTAAACCTTGTGCTCTGATTACCAAGTTTGTCACGACCCAGGGGTAGCCCTAGGTGTAACAAGGTGTACAGACCTTGAGAGACCTCATGCAAGCCACTTAGCATATCATAACATAAAGTAATAGAAATGATGCAGAAATTTAAAACATTTCAAAACAATCAAAGTCTTTATAAAACGAGTGGAAGTCTAATACAATTGTTTCAAATCATCTAACCAACATGAATAAATCTTGGGACACAACCCATACAATAGTCCAAACATAAAGAAAGGCATAAAGGAAAAAGGGTGGTTAAATCCTCGAATGCTATGAGGACACACCAAATCTTCACTCCTTGATCAACTATGGACCTAGCCACGAGTGTTAGAATCAATGTGTCGGATCCTACATTATTATATGAAATGTAGGCAAGAGTATGCGTAAGTACAAATATGTACTAAATATGATAGTTAGCATAAACAACATAAACATAAGGGTCAGTTAATATAAACCATAAGCATAATCAATGCACCTAAATCATCATCATAATAAGAAAGGAACACTTCTCAAGCAACCTTACTTATCCTTAGTCAAGACTTGGGTCATCCGCCTCTAGTCAAGCTTACCTTATGGAAGGCATCTCAAGAAACAATCCAAGCTATTCGTTCATCATAACATAATTTTCATCATTCATGCTTACTTTTAAATACACGGGGATTCACCTCTTTGGCTAGCTTGCAAAGGTTAATGGGTATTCGCCTCTTGCCTTACTTACTTTAATATCATGGGTACTCGCCTCCACAATCACATCATATGACACAGGTACTCGCCTCCACATCATTTCATAAGGATCATGGGTACTCACCTCCATGTCCATTCATCATAATAGGAACGTGTGGAATCACCTCTTGTTCAATTCTAAGGAGTATGGAAAATTACCTCATATCTTTCTCATATGGAGGTCAAGGGTAGTTGCCTCTAGCCTCATCAATTACATAGTCTTTTAGTCTAGATTCATTTTAGGTGAGAAATCCTTTCAACCTAGAATTATTCATGTGAGTAAACCCTTCACATTCATACAATCATGCTTAGCAATTCATTGTGGGAAGTATCCCTTCCACAACTTCAACATTAACAATCAACAATTCATAGTCTAGGCTTTACTCTCAAAGCACTACATCTCATAATCATCATCTATGATTTACTCTCAAGCAATTGTAATCATAATTCATCAATCCTATAAGGAGATATCTAAACCCATAAAGTTTTCCTTCAAGGCATCAACCCAATTTTTATCAATTCTAGGTTAGAATCATGGAATACGCATGGGTACAAGTAATTTCATCCTAAAAACATGCAATTCTATCAATTCAATCATAAACAATCATAATCACTCAATTGGATCAACATTTATCGTTAACCACAACATTGGAAAAAACCCTAACTAGAATTGGGAATTCTTCTTCAAATTAGGGGAATTCTAGGGGACTCCATGGGAGAAAGGATCCCATGGATGAAAAACCATCATACCTTGATTACAAAGCCCTCACAAGCTTGAAGATTGGAGACTTGACTTGACCCTAACTTCAATTTCTTCCTTCTTCTTCCAACTTATAGAGAGAATATTTGAGAGGAGTTTGGGTTTTTTTTTTTGGGATTTGAGAGAATGACTAGAATGAGTGAATTAGGGGTTAAAAATACTTATATAGGTGTTCTAGACTTAGGCAAAACGAAACCACTTTGATTTAATTAAAATAGGAAAAGACCCATAAGTCCCTAAAAGTAACTGCCAGTCACAACCGATGGACCCCCGGCCGACAGACCATAGTCAGGATGACGGATCGTCCTGCACGGTCGTCGTTCGATGGTTAGAGACTGTTTTTATGGACCTCGACCTACGGACCTTGGACCACAGACCGTGGTCTAACCGACGGTCTGTTGGTCAGGCTGTGGTTCTGAGGTTTGAGTCCAGGCTGGAGGTGACCAACCACCGACCCTCCCTACAGTCTGTGGCTCAGTCCACGGGATGTGGGTGGCCTCTCGTGGATGGCACCTGCAAATTTGGCTAAAATAGCTATTTTGCCTTGTTTCAAAGCCGGGTGTTGCAAATCCACCAATAGATCTTCTGCAAGTCATGGTACATCTTGTGGCTCCCGAGTGTATGGAATATCGAGAACTATGGGCTTCTGACAAGATCTGCTCTCTGACGTCATAAACATTAGGAACACACAAACGACCTTGATATCTAAGTACACCATCTCTCC